AGAGCCTGTTTCCATGTTTAAGTAGGTCCGGTTTTGGTCCCACAAGCGCTACAAATTTCCGTTTTCGGCGCTTTAGGGTTCAAAATCGGACCTGATGAAAATAAAAATTAGATCCGATTTTGAACCCCTGAGTCCCTTAGTTACCACGACTAGCCCATGCCTGTTTACCAGGACTGTGCCTTAGTCAATTTTCAAGTCTGCCTCATGCTATTTGATAAGAAATAAGAAAAAAATTAATTTTTTAAGCGTCATTTTTTTTATTTGATTTTAGATGTAGAGCTAACGCAAATTCAGACTGTTTGACTCTTATTTAGACCTAACTTTCGCTAATCATAGAAATAAAGTGAAAATCGCATTCGTCCTATCCGAGATTCGAACCCGAGCCGCGCGCTTGCTAGACCGATACCTAACCCCTTACACTATACGATCGATGAGCTACTTTACATCTCATCATTCTCATAAGCTAAATCTATATAATGATGAAGTGTGACGGTTTAATTATTTATATAATTTATGTTATTTAATATAGTGTTTTGATGAAAATTAACTATTTTTTACACATGGTTATTAATTAAAAAAAAATGCTAAAGTCAAGTCATATTACTCTAGACTTTGTACATCATTCTGTAGATTTTCAATATTTTATTATAAATTTTAATATTCAAAATTATCAATATTAAAAATTTAACTGTAAATTATTAAATTTTAATTTTTTTAACAACCATATCAATTTTGACGATAAGATGTAATTTGGTTGAATAATAAATTTTCAATTTTAGCATTTGCTAACAAATATTAATTAAACAATAAATTTTTATAACTTTGAAGAAATTCATTGTATTGAATCAAGACGAAAAATTCTTGAATCAAATAAAATTTACTTATTAAAGCAATATAAATTTCTTAGTTTAAGAATTTTTCTCTTCAGATCAAGAAGAAAAATTTTTTCAGTTAATAAATTTAATTTTTTAATTATTGATTGAAATTTTAATTAAATAATTGATAGAAAAATCAATTTTTCTGCCCTCCGGCCGGAAAGTGGCAACTTTCTGGCCGCTGCGCTAAACAAAGTTGCCACATTCCGGCTACGTCGAGCAGAAAAATAGTATACACACCTTGGCCAGTAAAAAGTAAAGCCTCAGATCACATGTTTGTCAACCTCGGCTTCGCCTCGGCCAACAATTACATGTGATCTGAGACTTTTCTTATTTTACTGGCCTAGGTATGTAATATACTATTTAATAAATATAATTTTCGTGTCATTTTGAATTCTCCAAGCTCAAAAATCTGATAGAAGTTTAATAAAACACTATTTTTTGAATTTTCAAACTGAAAAAAAAAAATTTGTTTTTTTTGACACAAGAAATTTCACTTATTTCAACAAAATTCATTCTCTTGCTTTAAGAAATACGTATCTTGATCCAAGAAAATTTATTTAAGTCAAAAAAATCTTCTTGTTTTAAGAAAATTCAGCTTCTTGCTCCAAAAAATTTAGTTCTTGATAGAAGTAAATTTTCTTGCCTTGAGAAAATTGCTCTCTTCCTCCAAAAATTAAATATGAAGATAGAAGTAAATTTTTATTAACATTTTTATTGATTAACATGTCAAATGGGAAGATCAAATAATATTTCATCATTTTTTTTCATTCAATATGTATAATTGCACGCTAAAATAATATAAAATGGGTATCAAATATTCAAGAGAAAAATTTTCTCAAGGTGAAAACGGACTTGAGGGTTCAAAATCGGACCTCTGGGTGAATGTTCGGATCTGTGGGTTCACAATCGGAGCTATGGGACTACAGGGCTCTCAGTCGGATCTATTTCGGACTAAAGGGTTCTACATAGGCTCTAAATTTCGACTCGGGTATTTCTAAGTAGATCATTCCGATTTGTTTTTAAGATGTAATGTGTGTTTGAAGCTAATTGAAAACATGCCTATGAATTTTTTCGATTTTTTTTTTAATGTCCTCAGAAAAAAAAATAATTTTATTCAAAATTTTTCATTTATCATTTTTTTTATTTATTGAAAAAAAAGTCGATTGTCAAAATGTATACCTTCTTCGAAACTTTAAAAAAAATCCTCCAGAGTACTTCGATTAATTTAAGAACTTTTGAGCTCTATCCAATCGTGAGTGAACGACATTTAGTTCGATTGTTTGTGAATTTTTTTTCTCGTTAGTTTGGTCTTAAAATTTTTTCATTTTGCTAATTGCGTTCCAATATTTAACAGTGACTTTTTTAAATCCAATCATAAAATTTTACAAATCCAGAAAATCTATTTATAGCTAGACTGATAATCTAAGAAAAACGTGTTGAATTAAAATTGCATGTGTTAAATCTTGAAGGATTTTAGAAATTTTCACAAAATATAAATAAAAATTCATTGGAATACATAATAAATTGAAAAAGTAATGATCTAATAAGTTGTAATTTGATTGTTTAAATATTTTTCACTTTTTTAAAAATTTATGAATATTAAAATTTTATTTAATACCCTTATTTTAGAATATCGGTTCATCTCAACTAGTATTTGCGTAAAATTTAAACGATCGGACCAGGCTCGGAAATCCTTAAATTAATCTAAGTATTGATGAAAATTTTCTAATGGAGCATGCATATAGTCAATATCGTCTTTTTTTCTGAACTGAAAAAAAATGATGAAGGCAGAAATTTTGAATAAAATCAAATGTTTTATGAAAGAACATTTGAAAACAAAATTTAAAAAAAAACCACTCGATTGGTATATTTATTACCACGTTGGAAGCATTTAAATAAAAAAAAAAAAAAAAAAAATGAATATCCAACAAATTTATATCTCAGGAGCGGATGGTCAAGAAAATTAAAAAAATTAATGGACATATTTTTTTTGGTCTTGGGAACATTAAATCTAAAAATAAATCGGGAGGTCAAATGGAAAAACTACACTGATAGAAAAACAATCTTGATTCCAGAAACTTTTTTTCTTCAAAACTTGAACTCTTGAAACTAGATATAGATATATTTGTTTCAAGAATTTTTGTCTCTTGGTTCAAGATAGGCGATAACATTGATTCAAGATGTTACCGACTTGTGTTAAGAATGGCTTTTTTTTGAGTCATTAATAATAATATACTTATTTCTAAGTTGGTATAACAATTAAAGAATATTTAGTTTTTGAATTATACTTTGATGAATTATTTTAAGTTTTCTAAACGATAATGTTATTTTGATTGAAAAACTTAAATGTATCGATTGAAGATAATATAGCTCTTAAGCCAAGAAAATCTAAATCAAGACAAGAAATTCTTAGAGCAAGATAATCATTTGTCTTCCAAAATAAATTCTTAGATCAAGAAAATATCTCTTGAGTCAACAGAAATTTTCTATCAGTGTAGATGATTCGGTATAAAATATGACCCATGTATTAAAAATTAATTGGTTTAAATAATTTATTTGATTTTTAAATTTTCGACCAGTATTTATTAGATTATTAGAAAAACTATGTAACAAATTGAAGTAAATCTTTTTTGAAATCAATTAAAATTATGCTTTGTATCCACTTTGAAAGCTACTTGATTTTATTTTGGGGACTCTTTGGATTTACTGAGGGAAAAATTTGAGTCCATACTGAAAACTATTTTTTATCATTCTGAAATCACTCTGATTTCATTCTGGACCCACTTTGGATCTATTCTAAATTTACTTTGGTCCACTCTGGATAAAGTCTGGAACCACTCTGGTTTTACTCTGAAATCAAGGCACAAAACCACTCTGGGAACACTTTGGATTCAGTATGTTTTCACTATCCCGAGTAAAAACAGAATTTGGCCGCATCACAGCCGAAACACCGCTGCACGGCTTTTTAACCGCCGAAGCACCGCCGCACTACGGCTGTGACTATTTTAATTTTTGTATGGTCGCCGAAGCACCGCCGCACCATAGCCGCGACTGTTTAAGTAAAAGTGGGTTCACTGGATTACCGCCGAAACACCGCTGCACAGCATTTTAATCGTCGAAGCGCCGCCGAAGCACCGCCGTGACAGGTTAAAATTTATCAATTCGCCGAACCATCACCGCACCACAGCTATGACGAATTAAAAATTGTCAACTTTTAATAAATTTTGTTTGACCGCCGAACCACCGCCGAACGACCGCCGTTTGGTGGTATACATTGAAATAAAATATTTGTTGATCATTCAAATAACTAAACCAAATTCTCTCAGTTAACTACGACTTGCAGCGCAGTTGGTAATGTTCGAGACTTCCACGCAGACGACCCAGGTTCGATTCCCATCGCAGCTGAATCTTTAAAATTTTTTCAGGATATTTCGATCGACTCGCCGTTTCTGTGCAAACCGAGGACGAAATTAAAAATCAACATCAACAATACGACTAAAAAAAATCAATAATTTACTTCAGTCTGGTTCAAAAAAATTTTTTGTATTTGAATATTAAGTATTTGAATAATAGGAGGTTGTACTATAAGTCTTACATTAAAATTTCTAGTCGGGTTATTTATTAATTAATTATTGTGTGATAAATTAATTATGAAGCCATTTTTTATAAAATTGTAGCTATGCTTTAGCATTGGTGCGGCGGTCGTTCAGCGGTGGTTCGGCGATGCGAGGGGGAGTAAATTTTTAGCGGGCGGCGGAATATTCCGCCAAACAGCGGTCGTTCGGCGGTGGTTCGGCGGTCGAATAAAATTTATTATTTTTTCGTAAAAAATAATAATTTCATTTTTACACGGGATGACTCTGAATCGAGAATGTTTCCAGAGTGGGTTGAAGGTCGCAAGGGGAGTGCGACGCGAGAAATTTTACATACACTGTAAAATCCGGGACCTAATTCTAAAGTTACAGGAGGAAGGAAAAGAGGTCAGGCTGCATTGGATACCTACCTGCCCATGTGGGTATCAGTGGCAATGAGTGGGCGGACCAGGTGGCGAAAAGGGCAGCTGTAACAGGGAAAGACTCCAATCTAGAGTTGCCAGCCAATGACTTCAAAAACAGATAGAAAATGAAATTAAAAGAAGATTTTAGCGCTTGGTGTCTTGAGTCTGCAGCTTTAAAAGGTACAAATTACTTTAGAAAATTTTATAAAGATGAAGCTAAACCATGGTTTGAAAGTGTTCAGTTGGCCAGAAGGCCTTTAGTTTCAATAAATCGACTAAGAAGTGGCCACACGTCTCTTAAGGCTAGTCTATCTAAACTTAATATTGTATCGTCCTCAAGATGCCCGTGCGATATGGATGAGGAGACCCCGGATCATATTTTTTGGATTTGTCCTCGTTTTGTATCTCAGAGAAAGAAATTAAGAAAAGCACTCCAAAAAGTCTCAAAGTCTTATCCTGATAACGTCGAAACCTTACTAAATAGGATAGATAATGGTAATATTTTAAATGCACTGTCTCAATTTATTTTAAATATTAATATTTTTATATAATGTCATTAGTTGCAAATGTTAATGAAATGAATTATTTTAACTAAATTCAATGTACAAAATGTGAATGGAATTTGTAAAATTAATATTGACTGATTTGAATATAGACGACAGATGGCACTCGCTGTCTTAGACGTAGTGTAAGACTATATATTTTATATGCAATATTATAATTATATTGGCAATCTTGAGCTCGATGGATTGTGATGTCATATCACGGTTTAGTTGAATCGCGACTGGCGCCGCCAGGCGAGCACTGATGATACCCCTTTGATAGCGGGAAATTTAACATTAAATCTATTTTTATAATAAGGAAACTTTTGGGAAAACCCCGCAACCTAGGTCTAGACCTTTTAGCTATTAGTAAAAAAGGTTATTGTTAAAATGTACTTTTACTCTCTGACAATTCAACACAATAGACTAGGAATAATTAGATAGTAAAGAGGATTAAGCCATAAATATATAAATTTACTACCTAATTGCTCTCGACTTAAGTAACTATAGAAATTAGAAAATATAACTTAATCTCCTAAGAAATATAAAATGCTGTATAAAAATGCGAGAAAATAGTCTGAGCCGATTAGTGACCCTCATTTATGACGAGTCCGGTTCAACCACTCAGTCCAATAAATTCCCAGGGATGATGAAACTTCGGACAATTCTGCTGGCGAGCCCAGGTAGTTCAACAACGGTCGGAAAGGACGAGTACCTGAGTAGGAGCACAGCTAGGACCCAGTAGGAAGGAGAAGGACCAATCAACGTTGCCAAAAGTCCAGTACAACAGAATACTTAGATAGTAGGGAGAGTTGCCCCCGCCACTTCTAGTGATATGAGTCGAACTTAGACATATTTGAGAATATCCAGAATAGTATTCGAGCTCAGACTTATCACCTCGTTTTCTAAATTTTTGTAAAGTCCTTTGAATACATACTTCAATTTAGTTAATCTAATTCCGTCCAATTATTTATTTAATTAATATTCACATATTAACATCTTCCTCATCCTATAAATTCCCGTTGATAAATTTGAGTATTTCTATATTCCCGGGCGAATCAAAGACCACGTCGGTAATTTTAAATTTAAATAAAGATTTCTATCGTTGTCCACCAGGAGGAGGACATAACAGGATATTGTTCCAGAGCCATCTGTATTTTTTCATGTTTAATAAAAAAAAAAAAAAAAAAAGGCAAAAACTGTAGTAACTGGATAAGTGAAAAAAATT